GGGACAAGGGCCCCTGCGTTACCGACCCGCCTTATGTTGTATTACAAACGCGTGTTTGTCAGCTGCCTCTCTGGATACATCCCTGCCGCCTCTGTGCCGGCAAACAACGTCACCAGTGAGTGCGTATTGACTGAATGTTTGTTAAATGAACGAGAAGAGCGGGCTGAACTAACAGGGCTGGAAAGCGGTGCTCTTCAACCAGGCGGGTGCAGAGAGCCTGGTGCGCTCCAACAACGGAGATGCAAGCTCAGACAAGCCCGTACAGAGCTGTACGACGAGTAAGTTAGTTATCTAGCTGAGACGGTCTCGCTATGTAGTCCAGGCTGGCCTTGAACTCACTATGTAGCCCAGGCTGGCCTTCAACTCATAGGATCCTTCTGCCTCAGCCTCCGAGTGCTGGGCTTACAGGCGAGCGCCACCACGCCCACGTACTCCACAAGGTGTTTACGGAATGCCTGACTGGCCAGTGTATTATGTTCTGTGTCCCTAAATTACAAAGTGTGACCTCGCCCTGTGTGTTCCAGTGGATTAAAACAAACAGAAAACCCACCTGCCCAGAGAACGGCCCCGCACTAGGACCGGGGCATAAAACATAATTTTCCCTGGAGGAGCTTAGAGTGGGTCACACACAAGGTAACTTGGCTAAGGCTTCCCCTTTCCTACAAGCCTACACTGTGTGATTTGCGATGTCCAGCACACGTATGTCTGGAGCTAAACACACAACATGCTTCTTCTCCGTGGCGACACTAGATTCAGCTAGTGTCGATCCTCACACGGGGCATCCGCTTTCTTCTGCTCCCGGGTGCAGCTCAGCTGTGGACTGTGCCCAGCCTTCCAGCGGCTCTGGGCTCCGTCCCAGCTCCACAGACGGATGCACGTGCGTGTTACAGGAAGTCAGGAAGCGACCACAGGAGGAAGGGTCTTTGAGGGAGCCGCCGCTGCACACCCCTAGCTCAGCCATTAGGAAAAGCAAGCAAGGCCTTGGAGGCAAAAGCAGTAGGAAGCAAGAGGCCCTGGGCAGATGGGACAGCTTGGAGGCACCGGAGGAGGGCGCCTGTCCCGGAGGAGAAAGAGGAGACAGACAGACTGCAAACTCCTGGGAGGAGGCCAGTGAGGCAGGCCCAGGGGTGACGCAGAGCCCGAAGCAGTTGCCGGGAAGCCAGCTCAGCTCCCTGGGCGCATGGGGCGGGGAGGCACTGCATATGCAGATGACTGACTGCACCTGGCCCAGGCTAGCTGCTGTCCATTCGGTACCTGATATTCATAGGTGTCATTGCAAGCAGCCCGGCAAGTCTACAACCTGGCAGACATTACTGCCCAAGACAAAGCCACTTTTGCATCGTTTTTTAATTTTTAAAGATTTTTCTTTGACAAAGCCTTTTTTTTTTTGTTTTTTTTGAAACAGGATCTCACTATGCAGTTCAAGCTGGCCTTTAGTTCATTTTGTAGCCCAAGCTGGTCTGGAACTCCCAGTGATCTTCCTGCCTCAGCCTCCCGAGTGCTGGGATTACAGGCATGGGCCACCACGCCCAGCAACAAACCATTTTTAAATACGTTAAAAGTACGGTGTTTTGACAGAAACTGGTAACGATGGTGCACAAAGGGGTGTAGGCGTGAATGGCTGAAAACACCCGAGTGGGAAAAGGTGCACTTGGGCACCACGCGATGGCGGAAAGGTGTCCGAGAAGCCTTTGCTGGTGCCAGCATGGAACTCTTACACATGGAGCCCTCTTTAGATGCGTCCTAAACGCCTGGACAACCCCTTACACAGAACTGCACCTTTACACGCAACGACAATGCGGGGTACATTCGTGATCCTCCTGCCTCAGCCTCCCAAGGTGCTGGGATTACAGGCATGCACCCCCGCACCTGGCTGAACTTTTAGAACTGATAACTTAGAAGGAAATAAACACAAGATACGGTAGGGCACCTTTTTCAACTGGCTGCCAGAAGAAAATTCGCTGAAAGTGTATTTCCCGGACTCAGAAGTCTGCAGCGCGTTCCCTGCCTGCGCCAATGCGCAGAAGCGACTTCCCCGCCTAGAGGTGGGGGGACTCGCACCCGAGGCTGGGAGAAGCCCAAACTGCCCCGCGGCGCCCTAACGCCCTGAGGGCGCCGCGGTCCACAGCCGCGCCAGCTGCCCACGAGGCCACGTGAGCCGCTGTCACCCTCGGGCGGAGTCCTTCCCAAAACAGCCGGCGGCGGCTCTGGTGCAATCAATGTTTGTTTACTTCTTCGGGAGAGCAGGGCAGACACTGCGATTGATTGGACAGCAGGCCAATAGCCGCCCCGACAACAAAGCCGGGCCAATCACAGAGTGGCGAGGGCGGGCCGAGCCGACCGCCTCGCGGCCCGGAGCCGGGCCACCGCCCTCCATCTTGAGTGTGGCAGAGGTGGCTCCTTCACCAGACCAGGTGGCTGAGGAATAGGGCACGATTCAGGAAGTTCCTAAGGAAAACGTCGACTGTGTTTACGTGAAAGACGTTTTATGGTTTTGTTTGCTTTAGAGACAGGGTCTCGCTATGTAGCCCAGCCTGGCCGTGAACTAAGCCATCCTCCTGCCTCAGACTCCCTAGGCTGGGATGACAGGTGCACCAACACTCCATCCTGAAAAGATACGTTCTTGCCTTTCTTGTCCGGATGGATTAACTCCTTGCACGCACAGACGATGGTGTGCAATACCTCACGAGCGATATTCACACATCCCTGGACAGCATTCACCACACTGAGCTTACCCCCAACTGCGATCTTGTGCTCCCATGAAATGTTTCACACCTACTTAAGTACAATTCTGTTGGCAAATGTACACGAGGCTCTTTATATTTATTTTTATAGACGGGCGTGGTGGCGCACGCCTGTAATCCCAACTCTATGGAGGCTGAGGCAGGAGGATCGTTTTGAGTTCAAGGCCAGTCTGGGCTACAAAGTGAGCCCAAGTCCAGCCTGAACTGCACAAGGAGGCTCTGTCTCAAAAAAGGGGAAAAAAAATTGTATTTGTATTTGTATATGAATAAAGATCAAATGTAACCCACGTATTACTGGTGTAAATGTGCTGTTCCTGACGTGGAGATGTGCTTAGGAGACATCTGAGACTGCCCATGCTTGGGGAGGTTTGGTACAGTTTCGTTTTTGTTTCTTGCAGCACCGGGGAGTGGACCCAAGGTCTCTGCTCTGAGCTCCATCCCCAGCCCTTTTTTATAATGCGACAGTCTCTTTCCTAAATGGCTAAACTGCCCAGGCTGGACCTTGGATCTGCAGTTTCCCTGCCTCAGCCTTCCAGAGTGCTGGGATGAGAGGTGCGCACCACTGTGTGGTGTTTTTATTCAGGCGGCTCTGAGAAGTTAGGGGCAGAATCAAAACATCTTTGCAAATGTGGACTTCGGTATTTCAAAGAGAAGAGAGCTGGATGTGGTGCCGCACACCTGTAATCCCAGCACTTGGGAGGCTGAGGCAGGAGGATTTCTGTGAGTTCGATGCCAGCCTGGGCTACATAGCAAGACCATGGCCCAGAACACACACACACACACACACACACACACACACACACAAAACCCCTAGCCCTACACTGCCACAACCTTTTAACAACGAATGGAGGCCTGGGGTGATTCTGTAAAGCTCTGATGAAGCCCGGGGGTGGGGAGGAAAACGAGCCCAGCTGCACCTCTCCTTGGACACAGGCCGGATATGGACTCTGCCCTTATCCGCTTCTTGCCTTTAGGACATGCTCCAACTGAGAAAGAAAAAAATCACTTTTTATAAAGTAGCAATTCAGCCAAGAAGGCACTCCGGGTCAATATTATAAAAATCTGGGAAAGGAAGAAACAAGCAGTGCACGCTCTCTTAAGACAGCAGAGCCGGCGTCTGTGTTTGGCACAAGACAAAGGACACAATAAAAACTTCCCGGATTGTTTTTCTCCGGTGCTGGTGACGGAACCCAGGGCATTATCAGTACCAAGCAAGGGCCGTGCCACTCAAGCCATTCCAGCCTTTTTAAATTTTTATTTTCAGATAGAGTCTGGCTAGGTTCTCAATCTGCCCTTGAATCTGAGACCCTCCTGTCTCAGCCTCCTGAGCAGCTGGGATTACAGATGTGCCTCACTGCACCCAGCTGATTTTTCTTCTTCAGTTTTCATGGAATAAATACAAAGCCACCAAGCAAGACATATCTTGGAAAGCACCCCATCCTGAACACACACTGGTACACCTGGAGCTTCGGTCTTGGGAAGGCAGATTCCTCGTACTGGATCGTTATTACCAGATATTTTTAAGGTAAAGAATGGACAGAAAGGAAAAACAGGTTGGGAAGGGCGTGGGATAGACCTGCGGCTTCGTCATCCTTTGGTGTGGGGAATCAGATCCTCATCACTCCCACATTTGTGATGTGCTGGGCTTCTGTATGACAGAAATGGCAGCTATGCAGGCCCGCGCCGACGCGCACTTAGTGTTGCCAAAGGACAAAATTACCCTGGCTCTAAGATTTTAATTGGCTTTATTACCGATTCTGCAATCAGGCAACACTTCATTCACGAAATGCAATACGTGATCCACTGAGCCGGCAGAAGCTGGTTTTGTTTTATTATCGATTGCTTTAGGACAGCATCTCACCGTGTAACGCAGGAGCGGGGGTCACAGGCGTGCGCCCCGCGCCCGGCCTCGCGCAGGGTTTAGAACGGAGAAAGGATGCGGGTGAAAGCAGGACGTCAGTGCTGACTGGGGCAGAGGAGCCACCCCAGACCAGCCTCGGCACCAGGGTCACCCGCGCGAGGCTTCGCCTGCCTGTCTCCCAGGGGGTTCCCGCTGGCTGGGGAGGACCAGATCGGCCCCGGCCCAGGTGTCGGCCCGGGTGTCGGGCACGCGCGGCGCACGACCGTCGCCGGAGGAAGGACCAACTACCCGAACCTCACTGCCGCAGCACTACCCACTTCTGCGCATGAGCGGCGTGCGCCTTCCCTGCGCGCACGCGCAGGCCCGGCCCCGCCCCCGAGGCTGCGCGCTGCACCGGGATCCGCCACGCCCGTCATGGCGGCCGCCCAGGCCGTCTCTGGCCCCGCCCCGTGACGCGGCGTCGGCCACCTGACCCGGCTGCGGGCCGAGGAGACACAAGGGAAGTCGCCGTCGCCGTCGCCGGATCCGGAGCCGTCGCTGCCCCCGGACCCCAGCACCATGCCGTCGGAAAAGACCTTCAAGCAGCGCCGCACCTTCGGTGAGCGGACGCGCCGGGCCGGGC